TATTCCTAGCACTGGAATTTCTGAATGAAAGGATGTATTTGACGGTACTGTCCAATTGATCCTCAAAGTGTTCTGCCAAGGCCAGGTACGGTAGCTCACATCTATAATCCCAGCACTTTGGGAGGCTGAGGTAGGCAGATGGCTTGAGCCAGGAGTTCAAGACCAGCCTAGGCAACATAGCAAAACCCTGTCTCTACAAAAAAATACAAAAATTAGCTGGCATGGTGGTACATACCTGTAGTCCCAGCTACTCAGGGGTCTGAAGAGGAGGGAACGCTTGATTCCAGGAGGCACAGGTTGCAGTGAGCTGTGATCATGCCACTGCACTCCAGCCTTGGCAACAGAGCAAGACTCTGTCTTAAATTTAAAAAAAAAAAGCTTCTGTCAATTTATATTCCTGCCAACAGTTTATGAGTGCTTGTTTTTCTGTGCCTCTCACCAACACTTTCATTCTTGCCTACCTAGGATTTGGGAATTGGTATCATATTCAATATCATTTTATTTTGTAAGTATTTTATTATGAAGAAAGTTAAACATTTTTCATGTTTCTTGGCCATTTGCACTTGTGAATTAGCTGTTCATATCCTCTGCCGGTCTCTCACCCCTCCTTCCCCACCCATTGGTTGTTCTTGAGAAGTTTCTGACCAGAAAAAAAAAATTATAAACCATTAAGGGAACTCACTGAATTTTGTAAAGGCTTAGAGTGAGTTATCAGGAAAGAAAAGAACAGAAGAAGAAAGAGCAGAAGAGGAGGGGAGGGAGAGAGTTTCTATTAAAGTCAAGAGGGGAAAAATCTTAGATCAAAGATTATAAATGGAAAAAAAAATTTTTGCAGAAAATTCCTATTTCAAATCAATTTTATGTGGAACTCATACATAAAACAGAAAAAAATGGAGCAGTGCTCACCAAAGTGGGAATGGGTAGGCTGCTACACCTGCTCAGCCTCCTCTTGCCCAGGAGAGGCTGTCCAGGACCTGCCTTGTTATCTTTAAAAAACTGAATTTAAAAACTATTCAACAAACAAGACTAATGTACTTGTACTCTTTTCATAAATAATACAATGAGCTAAAATTATGCCTGTTTTGGCTGGCTGCAGTAGTTCACACCTGTAATCCCAGCACTTTGGGAGGCCAAGTCGGGTGTATCACTTGAGGTCAAGAGTTTGAGACTAGGCCGGGCGCGGTGGCTCAAGCCTGTAATCCCAGCACTTTGGGAGGCCGAGGCGGGTGGAACACGAGGTCAAGAGATCGAGACCATCCTGGTCAACACGGTGAAACCCTGTCTCTACTAAAAATACAAAAAATTAGCTGGGCATGGTGGCGCATGCCTGTAATCCCAGCTACTCAGGAGGCTGAGGCAGGAGAATTGCCTGAACCTGGGAGGTGGAGGTTGCGGTGAGCCGAGATCGCGCCATTGCACTCCAGCCTGGGTAACAAGAGCAAAACTCCGTCTCCAAAAAAAAAAAAAAAAAAATAGTTTGAGACTAGCCTGGCCAACATGGTGAAAGTGTGTCTCCACTAAAAGTACAAAAATTAGCTGGGTGTGGTGGTGCATGCCTGTAGTCCCAGCTACTTGGGAGTCTGAGGCAAGAGAATTGCTTGCACCCGGGAGCAGAGGTTGCAGTAGGCCAAGATCGAACCATTGCACTCCAGCCTGGGCAACAGAACAAGACTCTGTCTAAAAAAAAAAAAAAAAAACCTGAGTAAAATCTGTTTTGATAGAGCTCTCTACTTTTGAAAGAACAAGGCTTAAATGAATGAGAGCATTTGTTATGTTATGTTGTATGTTATCATTCAGTCACACTAGGCTATGAACCCATGCTATTCACAACCTAGGCATCTGGTAGCATGGTACTATTCAAATTGCAAGTAGAATACTGAGAAGCAACTCATGTCACCTCTAAAGACCTAACGTTGCAAATTCCTACCTATGAAGTACAGGACACTCCTAAATCTATTCCTCCAGATTTAGCCTTTTTTTTTTTTTTTTTT